TACGTCTGAGAGGATTTTAAAACAAGACACATGTCTGCTTCGACTCCGACCTTGGACAAAACTTACACTTGCTCATTCAAAGACAGAAATCAGAAAATACATGATTACTCTGTAACAGACTTAACATGAACTCTAACTTTGCATAAGCAACTAAAAAAAATCATTGTTACTGTTTTACAGTTAATAAAATTGATTAGTTCACTGCAACATCTAAAATGGTTTGAACTAAGACACTTTGATTATCAACATTTGTAAAATAGTAATGATAATAAAAAAGAGAGTGTTCTTTCACTTGATTTTCAAGAAAGAAAGTCTCAGGATGGGTGAACCGGTATTTCTGGATTCAAATCAATGAAATGACTGTTTCTGTCCCACAAGGTTCTTAAGGTCAAGGGTTTTGACCTTAGGCTTAGTTTTGACATCAGGTTAAGTTCACTACACCACCCACACGTTACTAATCCTTCATTGTCTTATTGTGAATTTAGGCTGGACCCCATCAACCTTTGTGTCGTCACGGCAACAGAAGGCTGAGAAGCATCATGCCAGACCAGAGGATTTTATGGACGAAGAGGTGAGAATAAAAATGTTTTGTCTAATGAAAAAAAAAAGATTTGTACTTTCTCAAAGTTTTTGGGTTTGAAGTTGTAAATAAACTGTAGAGGAGATCTTTGTTGTGGTTTAACATTAGAAACGTTCTTTGGGTGGAACTTGTCCTTGTTAGGATTTCAGCGAGCATGGCATTGCCCCCAAAGAGATCACCACCAGTCAGGAGTTCTCGTCCAGTCGCAGGGACGAGGCTGCAGAGAAGGCGAAAGCCGTCAGTGCTCAGGCAGCGCTGATCCCCGGAGACACGCTGCTGGAGGAGCTGATTGCACCTGCCAGGTGACAGCTGCCTGCTACCTTCATCCGAGGGAATGTTTTAACTGTCCTCTGTTAACTGGAGTAAAGCTAGTTTTATCTCTCAGATTGTCCATTGGGGTGGAGCTGCTGAGGAGGATGGGCTGGAAGGAAGGTCAGGGTGTGGGGCCTCGAGTGAAGAGGAAGCCTCGCAGACAGCAGACTGGTTTGTCCATTTTTCATTACCTCAGACTGCTGCAAAGAGCAGGTTTTGATGATTCTACTGACAATACAGTGATGTCCTCCTGGTAATCCACTGACTGACAAAACAAACGCTTTTTATTGTCAGAAATTTCAACAATCCAGTTTAGCAAAACTTATAGGCCCCAAAATCAAATTTCTTCAGTTTCTTTCCACAGATTGTTGCATCAATTTCAGTTGGCTGCATCCGTGTCCATTTTTTTTGTGTGTGTTATTTCTCATCAGTGCAGTTTCCACAGTAACATGATTATCACTGTGATTTCAAAATGTACCCAGCATTCTTAGCTTTTGACATCTCGCCGAGTCTTTTGACCTGATGCTGCTCCTTCTGTTTTTCCTGTTTAGCACTGAGGTCATCAGCAGACAAAATAAATAAAAATGACCCAATCAGCAGTCAGACCGCAACAGTCAGCTTGTGTTAAGTAGGGCTGGGCCATATCCTGTTGTTCACGATAAGACCGGTAAAAAAAGCTTCCCCCGAAAAATTTATTGGAATAGAATAGAATAGAATTCAACTTTATTGTCATTGCACATGTCACAGGTACAAAGCAACGAAATGCAGTTTGCATCTATCCAGAAGTGCTTAGCAAGAAAAATAAATTGGTAGATATATATATAGTACAATATACAGTAAGTTGCTTTGAATATGCTATAGGTATAAATATATACAGGTTGTGAGTGTACAGACAATGAACAGGTTATAATATGAAGGGGTATAAACAGCTGTATTATGAAATTCTTTATCAAAAGGGCTCGTTGAACGGTCGGCACAGATTATTCAGACAAATAGGGAAAAATAAACAGAAGCTGTCAACTGCTAGGAGTAATTAGTGTCCTTTATTATCCTGCCACAGAAAACAGCCAAGCAAAAAACATGTACACTCTTAACACACAAATTGATATGAAATAACTTCTCACCGTGACACTGGCCGGGAAGTCGTTTTCGACCCAGGTAAAGAAGAATCACATCAAAATGGCGCATGGCATCAGCTGCGTGCTGATCCACACCGGACTTCCAACTCTCTGTTGTTTGATACATTTCTTATATACCTTCTTCCCTGACCGGATCGCGTGAGAGCAGATCAAAGCAAGTTTGATGGTTACCAGAACAACGGATCTAATTAAACCATCATCAAAAGCGATGGCTCATCCTTCCAGTAAGGAGCGCCTGTGACCGTAAAAGCGGGCCAAAGCTTCCAGGTCAAGAGCACTCCTAATGCTTATTAAAGCATTCCTAAAGAGCACTCCTCGTCCCTTCTGCAAACCATCAAAGAGTGTCTAAATATTATAAGCAACACACACACACAAAGTATATGTTTGAACAGGCATAAAGGCGACCCAACACCTCATAATACAAAATACAATCCCTAATATGTGAATAACACGTTGTATAAGTGTGTTTAAATAAGTGTAATATAGGTCTAGATTGACATAAAAGCATTAAAATAATAATTTCTATATCAACAGCTATATAAAAGAAAAAATATATAAGTATGTGAGTACTTATGAACAGTAGATAGTAGATTATGTGTACAGTTTGTACAGTAGTGGGCTAACGGATGAAAGTGCAGGTGGTGGTGTTACAGTCCATGTGTTGTTGTTGTGTGTATGAGAATACAGACCGTTGTTGTTATTCAGATGTCAGGAGGCAGAGTTCAGGAGTGTGACAGCTGTGGGGAAGAAGCTGTTCCGGTACCTGGTGGTTTTAGTCCGGAGGCTCCTGTAGCGCCTCCCAGAGGGCAGGAGGGTGAAGAGTCTTTGTGCTGGGTGGCTGAAGTCTTTTATGATTTTCCCAGCCCTTTTCAGACACCGCTTCCTGTAGATGTCCTTTATGGCAGGAAGTGGTGCTCCGGTGATGTGTTGGGCGGCTTTCACCACCCTCTGCAGCGCCTTCCGGTCTGAGGCAGAGCAGCTTCCGTACCAGACTGTGATGCAGTTGGTCAGGATACTTTCAATGGTGCAGCAATTAAAAATTCACCAGGATGTCTGAGGACAGGTGGTTCTTCCTCAGAGTCCTCAGAAAAAAAAGGAGCTGGTGAGCTTTCTTGATCAGTTTGGAACAGCCGGTCGTCCAGGTGAGATCCTCGGAGATGTGGACACCCAGGAACTTGAAGCTGTTCACACGCTCCACCACCGTCCCCTTGATGTAGATGGGTGGATGTGGGCCAGCGTTCCTCCTGAAGTCCACGATGAGCTCCTTAGTCTTCTCAGTGTTGAGCAGCAGGTTGTTGGTGTCACACCACTCAGCAAGACGAACCACCTCCTCCCTATAAGCGGTCTCATCGTTGTCTTTGATGAGGCCGATCACTGTGGTGTCATCTGCAAACTTAATGATGGTATTGGAACCATCAACAGGTTTGCAGTCATGGGTGAAGAGGGAGTAGAGGAAGGGACTCATCACACAGCCTTGTGGTACACCGGTGTTACTAGTGGTGGTAGATGAGCAGTGGTTATCCAGCCAGACATGTTGGGGTCAGTTGGTCAGACAGTCCAGTAACCAGTTGCCCATGAGGGAACTGATGCCCAAGTCTGTGAGTTTTGTGATGAGTTTTGAGGGGATGACTGTGTTGAATGCTGAACTAAAATCTATGAACAGCATCCGGGCAAAGGTGTTTTTGTTATCCAAGTGTGAGAAAACAGAGTGCAGCGCTATGGAGACTGCATCCTCTGTGCTCCTGTTCTGGCAGTATGCAAATTGGTGGGGGTCCGGGGGTGGGGGGGGGTGGGGGAGACAGGATTTGAGAAGTTCTAGGACCAGCTGCTCAAAACACTTTGCGATGATGCAGGTGAGGGCTACCGGACGGTAGTCGTTGAGTCTTGATGGTTTTGAGTTTTTGGGTATTGGGACGATGGAGGTGGTTTTGAAGCAGGTTGGTACCACAGCACAGGCCAAGGACAGGTTGAATATGTCCGTCAGTACTCCTGCCAGCTCCCCAGAACATGCTCTAAGAACACGTCCAGGGATGCCATCAGGACCCGCAGCGTTGTGAACTTTAATCCTGCTCAGCGCCGCTCCTACATCGGTGGGTAAAAGAGTCAGTGGTTGGTGGTCTGGAGACACATCTGCCTTAGTTGTAGTTGTTGGGTTCCCTCTCTCAAAACGAGCATAGAAATTGTTGAGCTCATTGAGGAAGGAAACATCAGAGGAGATGGGGGAGGGGTTGATGGCCCTGTAATCTGTAATGATCTGGAGTCCTTGCCACATACGTTGGGGGTTGGAGTTTGAGAAGTGTTCTTCTATCCTCCCCTTGTAGTGGTGTTTGGCCTTTTTGATGCCCCTCTTCAGCTCAGCCCTGGCTGTACTGTAGGCCTGTGTATCCCCTGACCTGAAGGCGATGTTGCGAGCCTTCAGCAGTAGACATACATCCCGACAAGGCTTCTGGTTGGGGTACATGGTGATCCGTTTCTGGGTGGTGACACTGTCTATAGTGGTGGAGATGTGGTCCAGCACAGATGAGGCGTATTGTTCAAAGTCTGTGTGAGTGAACATATTCCAATCAGTGTTATATTATATCATGATATGCTAATTTCATGATGTAAGTACGTCAGTGTTTCCCCTGCTATTATACAAGCGTTAACAAGCCCGTTAACAGAGCTGAGCGCGCTGAACTACCGAACCGAACTGCACACTCCCCCCGCCCCCCATGTCGGTACTGGCATAACGCTAATTAGCTGTGCGCAATACTAGCTAGCTAAAAAGCTAAAAATAAACGACGCACGGCTCAGCTGTCTCTCCACCCAGCTCTAAACTGGGGGTACAGAAGCAGCTCGGCTTTTTTCTCTCCCCTTACCCCTCTCCTCTGCTGCCGGTGCGAGCACAGCTCGGCTGCATCTCCTCCTGCTGTAAACTGCCGGTACAAACACGTGCAACTCAGCTGTGTCTATTAGTTCCACAGTCCATGGACCAAGAACAGAGTCAAGTAATGAAAGACAGAGCATCAAAGAAATGAATAATTCCTGCAGGAACAGAGGAAGCTGAAACACCACAAGCTTCAGGGTCAACCAACGCAACCAGGAACCTTGATCAAAAGATCTGAACAACCCAGGGAGAACCGGAGCACCAGCCCCATCCCCAATCACCCCCCAAGGCCCAACGCCCACCCACAGCCCAGACCCCAACCAGG